AGATGGATCGTCATGGGCAACTCTAATTAGGTAAGTATGCCACAATGACGTCCATTTTGCAGGCTCTATGAGGTGTCGGTTTTACCTCTGACAATAATTAAAATTTGGCGCTTTTAAAAACAATTAGATGTTCTTTGCTGACCTGTATGGTATAAAAAAAGTGGAAATATCAGGTCCTAAAATTTATTACAGTATATTACTGTATTATAGTCCGGTATATAAAGATTTTCTCCTCACAAAAAAAGGATGTGATTTATAGCAAAAAAATTTTTATAATTATGATCAGTGTTGTCAATTTCTTGTTCTATTGATAAAAACTATATTCTATTCTAATTTTTATTGCTCTATTCTATTGTTCTATTGTTCTATTTATTATTGCTATATTAATATCTAATTATAATCTTGTTGGCAATTTTTTGTTCTATAGACAAAATTTTTATTCTTTTCTAAATTCTATTGCTCTATTCTATTGTTCTATTCATCTATTACTGCCAACACTGACTATGATAATGGTCTAAAATTCACACATTTAGTAGAATGTAATCAAATCTATCTTCGGGGTCGACCAATTTACTTTACAATGCCGTTCTCTTCCTTAAAAACGAAATAGTGCACCATTTACCGAAAGTGGTATTCAATCCCATAAAAGATGATTATCAAAATCTTATATTACGCAAACAAGTTGCTAAAGTATTGAGCGTTTTTTTGAGGGAATGGTTAAAGGCATAGTAACAAATTGAAACATGCATAATAACAGTACAATCCTAAAAAACTCTTGAATGACAAATTTAACTTGATAAAAATATCTCCAGTTGCACATTCGGGCGTGCATATAATTTTGTTTTTTCTGTTTATAGTACATTTTTAAAATGCATTTAAAAAAAATTAAATTGTAATTTATAATCAAATTTTGGAGAAAAGTATTTAAATTGCTGTAGAACATTTTGATCTTAACAAAATGATGACATTAATTGAAGATGAAAATGACATTATTGATGATTTCGATAATATATAAATTAAATATAAAAGTTTTTGTATTTCAAGTATGCACTAATACAATTTATACCAAAAAAAAAAAATATAGTTGCTTAATAAAAACAAATTTTCTTTGAGGTACGAGTCTTTTTGCACCGGACCATAGATATTAAATTTCGGATCTTTTATTGATTGATTTACATCGTCCAATCATAAATCATAAGAATATTCTCTTATGAATTTTCTTTTGATCCCAAATAGTTGTAAATCATAAGAATATTCTCTTACGAATGTTCTCTTATGAATTTTCTCTTGATCCCAAATATAAAAGCATATTATATTATAAATAAATTGAGCGTTAATGATTGTTATGGACTACAACTTTTTTGGGCCAATACCGCTGAAGTAGGGTTGGGGGCACAGTGTCCCAGGGCATGCCCGTATCATGTAATTATAAATCTTAATCATATATATAATTGATTGGTTACAAGATCTAGCTATCTTAAGAATATCTCTAAACATTTTGTATAACAATCTATCAAATTTCGAGATTAGAATTAAAAATAAAAGGCAATATATCTAAAAATTTTGCAATTAGAATATAAAAGTTATCTATAAATTAAATCTTATATATAATACATAATTTTTAAAATAATTCTTGTAGTAATTAGATTTAGCAGCATAGTACTTGATATATATAGAGGGGCATGCCCCGGGCACAATAAGAGAGGCCAAAGGCATGCCCCTAGGCATGTTCGTGCCCCAACCTTACGCTGAAGATTCAAATCAAAAAAAAAAATTTACGCGTATCTAAATTTGTACATTGGTGCAACACGAAACACGTACGTATGTATATCCAATTATGTTATAATACATCAAAACAATGATTTTTTTTCTTTTTAAATACAGTCTACGCTATTTTCTCATTTCCTATGGTTACACAAATCCCAAATGCGAAGAAACAACTCTTACGCGTTTTCATTAAATATATATAGTGTAACAAAACCATCACCTACTCTAAACTCGTAATCATGTCTCCAGCTAAAACAACATGAAAGTTAATAAAATGAATTTCTTTTATTTCCATAAGTGGCCACACAAGTATTTCGAACAAAAGACATCAGAGTGGAAAATTCTCTGTTTTCTTGAAGAGGTGACTTGGAACCTTATGTTAAAAAAAATAAAGGAATACCTTTATGTTTTGAATCAATTGCTAATACAATGAAAAGTCAAAAATATGTGAAGGCTCAGAAGTAACTTAATAATTACAGAAAGATAAGTTTAATGGTAAGATAGTTATCATTCAAGACTCTTAATCGGGCCACAAAGACAATGTTGGCACAGGTGGTCTCCGAGATTGTCTGATGTTTAAAAGTCTCCTAAACTACTGATCCGGGTCAGAATTCCGACAAACAAAATTCCGAATAGGTCATAATCGACAGTCAATTTTTGCCGAAACTTTATTTTTTCTCAGACCAGACTAGATGATCTCCGAGTTTGTCTGTGCCAAAATAAAATTAAATAGTGATATGAAAGCTAAAATGAAAACATAATGTTCAAGAATACTACTTATTCTGTAAAGTATTGCTTTAGAGTGATAAATTAGATCAAAAACAAGCAAAAGAATAAAAAAAAACATATTCATATGTATTGACCATCAAACTATAAATAAAACAACAATCAGTGGTGCAGTATAAATGGTGGTATGTTCGATGTAAAGAGAATCAACCAGGAAAACGTAGTTTTTCAACCAACCCTATTTTTTTTGTTCCTTAGAACGATGATAAAGTCCAAAAACACCTTAAAGAAGTTATCGAAAAAGTTTACATATTCAAGGTATGGATTGAAACTTTGATATCTTATTTGTTTAATGTGTTTCGTGTATCTCACTTCATTCTTTTTCAACAGAGTCGACTTATGAACTATTACCCTCGCAGTACAAAGATTACTTTTCACCGAAACTTTTACCAACACGTGGAAAGAAGATTAAGCAAACATAGTTAGTTAATATGTCGAGTTAATAATTTCCGAATTTGTAATGTTTACCCGATAAAAAAACATTCATTACTACCAAATATATTATATTCTAATTAATGACCTAGCTTTTTAAAAAATAAAAATCGGATTTATGTGTTACAATTTGTAACACTGATCACTTTGCCAAGAAAATTTTTAATGCAATCCAATTTTGTGTGTGTTAGAATGAAACCATTTTCACTTGCATAGTGCAAGACGGAATGCCTTTATCCATATGCAAGGTCCTAGAAAATATCCAAATTTTAAACTGAAAAAGATATTTCATTTCTAGTATTGTATTGTAACGTAATGAAAATCATCTAAGTTTACTTAGTGTTTGAGATACGGCTCCTTTACAAGCAAAGTACTGAAAAATCACTTCAAAATTATTATAGCTCTGGTTAAATGTTGTGCATTTTTGGCATGATGAAAGATTTATTAATATTAGAATGAGATACTATTAAAATGAAGTCATTAACAGCCCTAATTATAGATCTGCATCACAAGGCGTAGCTTAAAAACACGGGCTTCACCTTTTCGTAATATCATTAGGCATTTAAAACTGAAATAATACATTTTATTAATTAATTTTTTGAGTACTACCAGTAGTACAAATGAGAATTCTATCCTGCAATAAAACCTCTAATGGTGCTAAAAACTAAATACAAATCCAGCCCAAGAATAACAGCACTAACTATAATTGCAATAGTAGTAAGTAAAATGGAATTTGAAAAGTCCAATATATCGTCATCAGAAGGTTGAGACACATGATTTACATTATAAACAGTAATAATCGAAGTCCGAGTATATGGTGAATTAGGAGTAAGTGGAGTTGTGGAAAATATGCTATTGAGGTCAGGTGGTGTTAAACTTTCATCTTGTTGCTTTAATTTATCGGCCATAACCCTTTCTTCCAAATTTCTAATGTTAACCCGCATAAATTTCTTATTACTAGTAAACCAAACCATAGGAATAATTGCAAATGGTAATTGTATACTCAATGCAACTTGACTTGCTACCAAAAGGTCATTTAAACCATTTCTACCTCGAACAATTGCAATAATCATAGCAGGTACAACAGCAAAACCTCTGGTAATCAACCTTCTCATCCAAGGTTTTAATTTCCATTCTACAAATCCTTCCATCACTACTTGACCAGCCATTGTGGCAGTAAGTGTTGCGCTTTGTCCTAACCATGTAGATCGTTGATTAATAAACATTCTAATAAACATCCTAACATTCTGGTTTAGATATGTATCTAAGATTTACCTGCTACTAGCAATCCGATGGCAAATATGGTTGATGCTGCTTTACCTAAATATGATGTCAAAAGATCGTACGCATCAAAAAGATCTGCTGGTTTTGTTTGTGAACGATTAGGATCACCATAAAAAAAGTTTGCTGAAGAAACAATTAATATTGCCTAAAATATATGATTTTCTAGAATGTTAATTTAAATTTTAAAAAGATTAAATACCTCAAGAGAAAGAAAAGAAATTAAATACTTGCCGAATTGACAAATAAGGCAAACATTAATGCCACCGACGAGTCAATAGTAGATAATTTCAATGTATTATCAACTATTGACTTTATTTTATTTTTTTTAGGTATTTCATCAACTTTTTCCATTTGTTTATCGAATCCTTTGGATTCTTCCCGATTTTTTCTTACTTTGACCAAATGAGAGTGCAAATATAAATTATGAGGCATTACGGTCGCACCGACTATACCAATCGCAATGTATAACTCTTCAGAATTAGTGAATATTCCAGAACTTGGCAAATAACCTTTTAGCACATCAACACTATCTGGTTTAGAGTAAATCTAAGGTGCAATAAAATTTTAGATACAAAAACTTAAATTTGAAAGTAACAAAATTTATATTCATAACACTGGTGTTATATAACATCTCTATTAATATTTGTATTGGTCTGAGTTAAAGTCGAAGTTTTAGGTTAGGGTAAATATATAGTTTAATAATAGAGTGTTATATAACATGTGTTATAAATATAACTTTCCAAAATATAATACTGACCAACTCTACTACAAAACAAAATCCTACAATTCCAACCAATAGCATTAGAAGAATTTCAAATATATGTGCAGCTTTAATATCATTATCTCGATAGATAAACAGAATTAACAAGATATCACATGCTGTTATAGCAACTCCAACTGGTAATGGAAGGTTGAAAAGAAGATTCATAGCAATTGCACTACCAATAACTTCTGCTATATCACACGCGATTATAGCTAGTTCACATAATATATACAGTATATAGTTCAAATGCTTTGGTAAAAATATTTTACAAGCTTGTGCAAGATCTAAAAATATATATTTATATTAGAATTGTCCCGTTTATATGGAAAAAGTAAATTAAGAAAATGCATACCCAGTCCACTCACAACGCCCAATTTTATGGCTAATGCTTGTAATAGCATTGCCATGAGATTTGAAAGAAATACGATAAAAAGAAGCGAATATCCGAATTGTGATCCACCTTAGAATCATATAATAATATTTAAGCCGGATGATAAAACAACAATTTAACTAACCATCACATAAATTTTAATCAAGAATGGACTTTGAATAATTTTTGGACAAATAAAAATAATTATCCAAAACTCATTTAAGCTAAACCCACTCTCGTAATCTATGTTGATTACTATATCAAAGATTACTATTACATCTACATACCTGATAAATCAGTGGCCCAATTACCCGGATCAAGATAGCCGACTGCAATAACTGAATAAATAAATAAATAAATAAAATTGTAAATTATTTCGTTTAAAGAATATTTAATCCAGGATTAACTCCAAAGACATACTGTAGCCAGGCCCTATAAATCCAACAAAGCTTTTAAGATTAGAACCAACTTTATTAAAGGCATTTTTGGAACTGAAAGATTTTTCTTCCTCTTCTTTATTACTAACAACGGGACCAATAGTTATAATGCTTGCACCCGGGACAGATGTGGTATTTCCTACGGCTTCATGTTCATTATTATCACCTACAGTAGTCTCATTTGGTGGATGCCCCGTTGTAACTTCATGAGATTCTTGACGCTGATTAAAATCCGTGTATTCTGATGGTAATGTTGATGTATTGTCAAACGATGGAATATTCATATCTGATTTAGCAAATCCAATGCATTCAGTATAAAGTAACCTTTACAAGTTTTTCTGAATATATATAGTTTTTTGTTTATTCATAATGGATTTAAAAAAAAAAACATTTGGACAAATTAATGTCTGTTCTGGATGTGCACAAATTCGTGATACGTCAAAATTAGTGAGAGGTTATATAATCTTTTTTGTTACCCAAAGTTCAACAAAAGCAACTATTTAAAAATATACATTTTTTTATTATTTTATTTAGTAAACAAAAGAAAAGTACTAGAACGTTGTTACCATTATATTGTTTATTAATTTTATAATTTATGAAATTGTATCAAGATTAAAATAGTGTAACAATATAATGTATAACGGGGCTAAATTTTAAATTTTTTTTTTTAAACCGATACTACTACTTAATCCAGCTTGCCGTTTACTTAACTTTAATGTTCAAATATTCAAAAATAGGTTGATTTACAAAAATATTTACGTTTCACGAGCATTTGATTTTTTTTTTCAAAAAAAAAATTGAAAAAAGTAGTGATAGTTTATCGTTATAAATTCTTTTAAAATTAAATTAAAATTACAGTTATTAAAATTAAAAATTATTAAAATTATTAATAGAATTATTAAAAGATGTGGATTTAGGTCAGATAAAATTCATCATAATTATTTTGGAGTCTGGATATCAAAAATGTACAAGACTGATAATTTCTTCCATTTTATTTAGCAGTTAAGCGAAGGTTGGAGCGTTTGAAGGAGGTTTTATTTATGTGTCAAATTGTGCATTTATTTACAAAAAAAAAAAAATTCTTTTGACAAAAGAAATTGTAAACATACTACGTATCGTTTCCCTTGATTATTCAATCCATTTATTGCTAAGTTCGGGCATTATGCATTAAGAGGTAATTATCATGCAAAACCTGATTGATTAGTAATCATTTAGAGAACTGATGAATTTTTTTTTTCTTTGATGTATAATGCCAAGTTAACAAAATTGGTAACGTAGGTAGAATTGACTCCATAACATTTTTTTTGTTTTTAGATTTAAAATACGGTTCTTTTTGTTTAGTCGGTTGTAATTTAATTGGTTGATCAACATATGACCGCACCTGGCTTGAAGATGTTATAAAATGGTCAAAATCAATAATATATAACGTATAAGTAATTTAAGCTCATAAGGACAGAACAAGATGTAAACAAATAAATGGTAGTCTCAATAATAGCATCTCACACTGTTTTACATTCAAATTTTCTTGCAGATTCACAAGCAAATGCATCACCCGCAGATCTTATGCGAATCGTAGAAGATTTCTTTGTGTTGTAAACCAAATAGTCCATTCAAAATTTCCTACTATATAACTTTCAGAAACATTTCCTATTCTTTAAATCTTGGTTTATTTTCATAAAACTTTAGGAGTTACATGCATCCGATGTCGCTTCAAAGTCGGTAACGAGTAATTACAACGGGTTAGGTTGATGCACCTTTTACAATGATCCTCTATGGTTATTGTAGATTTTCTGAAAGCCATCCCGAAAAGACCAGGTAAAGGATCCAAAAAAATCATGTGGCACTGACATATAAGTGAGCATGCAACTGAATAACATACAACTTAGTAACGAAAAAAGCGGGTTCATTGGAAATTTCTACCCAAATATAATTCAATTAATTTATTATGATATCTGATATGATAAAAATTTTCATTAACGTTATGAATAAAGTTAAATTAATGAATAATAATAGAATAAAACATTTAATATTTATTAGAGTATTATTACACATTACTCTGGTTATATCGGCACCTCAAAAACAAAGAAATTATCCGATATATCCAGATATCTTAACTTCATATTAGGTATATAAGTTCAAAATTTTAAAAAATGTCATAGCCAGATGTCGATATAACCAGAGTGATGTGTATTACCATTATTCAAGTGTTTAGATGATTATAATTCCCCAATTCATGTAATTGCTTAAAGCTTTTTCTCTTTCAAATAAATAAATGAGAATATAATCTTTTGGAAGAGCATTAAAATAAAATTCACGAGGTTCTCAAGTCTTATTGCACTTCACTTTTTATTTTTATTTCGGGTTCCATCGGGAAGTTTTTTTTTTTGATTGAATTTAAATCATCAAAGAATACATGTCTTTGTATCAAGATTATTGTGCTTACTAACTTTGTACTTTTAAAGGCTTCGTTTAGTTTATCGAGTCGAAATAATCGTGATAAACGAATATTCATTATTTTGAAGAAAATAAATACTAACCAATTTAAGTTCTCAATATATTATTATCAACATTAGGCATCATGGATATACATTACATGAGTTTGAAAATTTTTTGGTGGCGACTTTACCCGGTCGATATAAGGATTGGTTGATAAAATAATCTGATTGGCTGAAATATCGTGTTTAATCATTTCGGTCAAAAAAACCTGTAGCTAATCTTTTTTTCATAGGGTTACTCGGATTGGATGAATTTTAAAATCTGCATCTCGATTACTTGCAAATTACATTGAAGGAGCTGCTTGAGAATAACCTAAATCGGTCAACATTGTGCTAATTCCGGCTAGCTTAGTTGGGGCTGTCCTTTCGAAAAAACAGCATTCGAAAACCTGTTATATTTAAGAATAAAAAAGTTTTACTAATTGTTCAGAGTAGTGTTCCGAGTTGGTAAAAATTTTTCCAATCGATTAGTTGCCAACTATAGTTGCAACTAATCAACTTTCCCTATCATGTGACTAAGTTTGTTGATTGGCCAATCAAACTAAAGAAATAAACACGAACCAGCCCGAATATCTCGGAATTTATCTAGTTGATGATTTAATCAACTAGTTGTTTCAAAAATTTCCAAATCGATTAGTTGGAAAGTTGTCAACTAGTTGGGTTTTCAACTAACGATTTGGATCACTACACTGAATGTCCTCCGGAGTCCGGAGGACATTTGGTGTTTAGTCATGGTGATACAAATGTTGCGTTTTTGATGCATTAATAGTTACGTTTCTGATTAAATAATTATTAATGCATCAAAACCGTAATTTTGAAAATTCTTGTCTGTCCGCACGCGTGTCTATGCGTCAGAATTGCCGTAGGTAGTCATAGAGTGGCTAGATGCATCAGATGTATTTTCTACCTTTTCAGGATTATTGTCAGAATTTGGTTTGGGAGAAATAGCACTTTGTGTCTGCTCAAGGTTTACAGAATCGGTACTATCATCTTCATCAGAGTGAGTATTAATAGGTGATAGAACAGGCATTTGTGAAGTTACTGATAATGCCGGAGAAACTGGAAACTGTGAAGCATTATTAGTAGTTCGATTTTGTTTTATGATTTGTTTAGTTTGTATTTTCGATCCTAAGATTAGCAATTTCTTCTATGATCTGTATTTTCAGCCTCAAGTTTGGGAACTCGCTGTCTTAATAATTCAAACTCTGATGACATGTTCGATAATAATTTTTTTTTATATAAGTCAAATTTATTTAAATTATCGAGTTGAAAAAAATCACGTGCATGTGAAGATTCTTCACACCGATCACTTTCGCCAAGAAAAATTCTCAATTATATGTGGACATTAACAATCCGTACATTGAAATAAAATCCCAAAATAACATATGCAAAAATAAACGCGATTATGTATGTGAAATCGAGCCACTAGGGCCAGCTTTATTGATACAGAAAAATGAATTACAGTATAAATTATTCAGAATCCACATTTGTACTATTTTCTTTTTGTCTTTCTGATATAAATTTGTAATTAATATATTACATAAAAACAAAAAGGTTTCTACGAATTCAGTTACAATATCTGCATCTGATAGTTGTACTGGGATTTCAGCTGATTGTATATGAAAATATCTATGGATATCAGCTTTATCTCTGACGAGAACATTCAGATGCAATATATTCCCTGCTATTTGCACCAACTATTCCGAATTGACCTTTCTCCGGTTTAAGGACTTTGCAAACCCAATATATACCATCATTAGACTCCCTCCATAGTTTATCTCATCGTCCGTCTTTTTGCCTTTTGATTTCTCGTGCAGTTTCAATTCTGACCTGATTTTGGGTTAGGGTTGATCTCTTTATAATTAGTAATGGTAGAGAAATAGAAAGTCTGTAAAATAGAATTGTCAATGAAATGAACTGTCATCAGCAATGTGTTGTCAGAGAAGTGGGCTGTCAGTGAAATGGCCGTCAGTGCAATTCCCACTATCAATATATCATAAAGTATCGCTGTCTTCCCACCCTTCGCCTTTTCTATCAGAACTAGCATTACGAGGCGCCGATGACGAAGACAACCTAAAAGAGAGATTTTTTAATATCGCTCGAATTGACAATAAAATTACGGTCGATTGGTAGTGTCACGGGCTAGATGGTCGGGAACGCAGATGGAGAAAATGCGACGAATTGTTGCTACGGAATTGTTGACGTCGCGTAACGTCACTCAAAAGCTGGCGAGGCGGTTACGATTTGGCACAGATTAAGACGGCTTTTGAGAGTGTTACAAGGGAAATTTGGATGTAATAAAACTTTAATTTAATTCATTATTATTATTTTTTTTAGAGCGGATTATCTGAGTTCAAAAAAGTTACCCTTACAAGAGTGAAAACCAATCCGTATTTATAAGAAAATTGCAAGGGAAAAAGAAGGGAATTCGAATACGGCTTTGATACCCTTTTCTCATTGACATAAGCCGTTTTACCCTTTTTTTACTAACACTTTTCCCTTTTTCTATAACCCAGCCGTCGTTCTATTAGCAATTTCATTGAATCTTTACTCCTCTCACAGCGACACACAACCCAGCATATGACGACGCTTTTACACGGCCACAGACTTTACCTGTCAAGGTAATATTACCTTGACAGATGTCTTCCAAATCGGGTAGGTGGCTTTTTCTCAATGGAAACCTGGATTTTTCCTGGGTCACGGGATGTGGTACTTCATGATGCAATTCGTGGGTCGTTACGCAATGGTTCCTTAATTTAACGATTTTGCTAGTTCGGAATTGAAGGCCGGGTTAATCCAAATCTCTTCCATAAGAGTAAAAAGCTCTCTTACAACACTTGCAATTTCATCCTCGGTCTTTCCAAGTTCCATCATGAATAAGTTTTTCTGGCGGTATATTCTGGTACTCGCGACTGACGAAACTTGATAAGAGTTCTTCACACATTTCTTTAACCCTTGGCATAAGTTAGGCTTCATTTGCCGAGCGGGTTTCTAATAGAAAGCATTATCAGAATACTATAGTTGTATTTGTTCTTAGAAAAGCCTCGAGGAGTTTATTATTGTTAATAATTACATACCTCAAATGCCTTTTTTAAGTTCCCCTTTAATTGTTTTACAAGTTTCGAATCATCACTAATGACTTGACTGGCTAAAGGGTCCTTCCAGGTTAATTCATGGGTATAGCATTAAGACCAGAATATAATTGATAATAAAGGAACGTGCTAGCTTTGTTAAGTTTTTGTCTCTCATTGAGGAGGTGTTTTGCAATAATACAATGAAATACAATTATGGGTATTCTGTCTCTGCTGCTTCGTGCAAACCTCCTAGATCAACGCAGAATTCAAGAGCATCGATAAGTGCAAATAAGTGCAAATAAGCGCAAAGTGCAAGTATAAAAGCCCACATAAGTGCAATAACGACAATAAAAGTGTAACCATGTGCATCGTTAAACTACATGCGAATTTCTCCGTGACTATCGTCCCGATAGGCCACTTACACTAGATTTGACTGTGGTCCGACAGGCCAAATCCGAACAAAAAACAACTAATTTTGGTGACTGTCGTCCGACAGATCACCTATTGAACATGAATTTGGCTGTCGTCCGACAGGCCAAATCCGTCACTAAAACAGCATTCACAAACCAGCTACTCACAGCTTACCAACAGCACTTATTTGGGCATCCACGAGGATGAGAAAGGGCGGGACGAAAAAACCAGACAAAGTCGGGTTAGCAGAAAAAACAGAAATTACTTTGTCTGGAAAAAAAACCCTATTCCCTTTAAATATGCCCTAGCGATTACTAATCAAAAAACTAATCAAAAACTACGTAATTTCGTCGTTACCCTAATAAACTCTAACGACGTAACTACGTCGTTACTCTAATAAACTCTAACGACATAGTCGTTACTCTAATAAACTCTAACGACGTAATTACGTCGTTACTATAACTAACTCTAATGATCACCCGATCAAAAGAATATCCAACCACGCAATCAATTACTCAACGCTTATAAATTGAATATACTCCACCCATACGTAACTTCTACGATAGGTTCCATCGTAAATCAATCAAAAAACAATCACGATACCATTACTTAATTAATCAATTACACTCCGTGTTCGATTCGAGACAAAATGCTGCTCCGATACTTTCGTATCGGGCAACTAATTTTTCTTCAGCTTATCAATATTGTCTTTAATCTGGTCTGGGTCAAGAGGGCTTTCCTTGTCCATTTTTTATACCCCAAGATCATATAAGCTACGAACCCCCTTGAAAGCATAGTCGAACTAATTATAAAATGTAGTGCGTTAGTTTTCAGAAAAATTCATTATTAAAATAACGCGTATTATCAATGCATATGCAAAGTTAACATCTTTGTTTGACCATCATGTAGATGAAACTTTGTGTGATACTAAATAACAACATAACTTAACACACCCCCCGGCATGGCAATAACCTTTTCACATAATAAGTTGATAGGGTGAACCATAAAACTGCGTAACAGATTATAGCATAAACACCCCTCTACTATGCGCAAGTATTTAGAATAATTGTTTTTTGTTATAGCATGTAAAATTTAAGAATATAGTTTTAGCACAAATTTATCCTTTACAATAATTTATTTTGGATCAGTAAAGGGTTCGTTTTTTTAAGAATATTAATTACCGTATTTTCGCGAAATAACGCGCAGGAGTGTAATTTCAAATTTGGCCCGAATTGAGCTTAATTTGGACAAAATTTCAAATAACGCCCATAGGTGTTATTCCGCGAAAATACAGTAGGCAAAAAAGGATGAAATAAACGAAATTTCAAAGAAAAAAAAAAATCCAAAAGAAGAAAGAGATTATGAGGTAAGATTATATTACAGCGCCCTTAATTGGTGGTAATGTTAGGACTTTTAAATTCTATCAATGGCAAGGCCAATTCTTGACGTATTAAATTGATATTAATGATTTTTTTCGGAAGACCTTTAATCAAATACTTGAAATTAAAAATATAAAAATCATTATGAACGATAAATTTTATTTAAAAATTCCGTCTATAGTACCAAGTGAAATACCCGAAAGTTTCCAAGGTTTGGATAAGAAGTGTGCTATAAACGGGTTAAATTACTAAGTATTTTATAGCTCGCTTCTTCGACTAATTTTTCGGTGTACTAACATTTCTTATAATTTCTTATGCTTTTCAGAGATGTATTCTAGGCTTTTTCACGAATGGGTGTCTTCAAACCAGTAACTTGAACTATACAGGCCGTAGAAAGTATTTCAGCATAATTTCCACCTGAATTTTGGCATGCGGCATTGCCTAAAGCTAAAATTTTGTGTGGTCAATACCTTAAGTCAAAATTAATGCTGTAAATGTAGATATTATAAAAACCATCTTGGCTTAGCTAAAAGTATTTCAGCATTTATTTTTGATATGAAATTTCGAGTTGTCTCAAACTTGTATGCCGAAACAAAATAGTTTCTATGAATGTATACTAAAATATTTTTATAACATAAAATTGCGGCTATTAATTTAGGTTATGACTTGAATTTTAGATTTCAACTTTTGACTACGGCACGTATAACTTGAACAATTTCATGCAAATATCACCAATTGAGATTGATAAATTACATTCGTATGTTTTAACAGTTTTAATCTTACAAAATTCAAATTTCCATCCTGTAAAATGAGTCTATCAATGCATAAGAACATGATTTAGGTAGAGATTATGCCAGGAATAGAAATAGTTATCATACAGCTACCTGAAACATATAATTTACCCTGTTAATACAGGTAGTTTAATAATATCCGGACGAAGATTTTTTCAACGGTTAAAAATAGTATATAAATTATAAAATGTTTATATAAATAATTATAAAGTGTGTTTAGATAATAATACAAAAATATATAATAATACAATAAATATGCAATAAGTGTTCAAAGCCTTTTATGATTTTTTTTTTTCACCATGTTAATATGTAATATGAATTTTAAATTTCAAATTAAAATAACATTTGATACATTGAATAAGTAAAATCTCAACCACCATTATCGTGGAATTCTTCCTCGTAAATATTCCATGATAGCAACAGTACCTTGTTGTACTATTGTGTACCTTGGAACTCTAAATGAATTACCCTCAACAAGTAATGTTTTGATAGTTGTGATATCGCCTAATAGAGGTGGTAAAAAATTGATATTGTTGTTGGAAATATCAACAACTTCCATATTTTCAAATGTCGATGGAGTGATAGATGTAAGTAAATTCGATGTGGCAAGAAAAGTTATCAGTTTAGGAAATGGGAATTTGGCTGGTAAAGCTTCAATTCGACAGTTGTTAACGTTAAGTACTTGTAAATTTGGAAACAATGTTTGTTGTGAGTCATCCGGTAAAGAGGTGATCTGATTTGCTGACAAGTCCAACCTGTTCACATTCGGAAAAACTATAGATTTATCTTCAAATGCTGGAAATGTGGTAAATTTGTTGTGATCCAACTGAAAACATGTAATGTTGATTCTAAATAATTTGAAGCTAATAGGAATGTTCTGAAGTAGATTAAATCCAAGTAATACAGTTGACGGTTCAAACGTAATTTCTCGTAAATCTTCCTCAGAAACTGTTGTTAATGATTTCTTGGAAAGATCCAATGTCTTTGATGAAATATTCTGCTGGCTTACAGTTCCCAATGCTGGCGGTTTGTCGGGAATTGTAGGCTCATCCATGTTTTCAAAGTCTGTTTTAACAAAACTATTAATTATTTATTTATATGTAAAAAATAAATAAAATATAATATACTCACCGACAGTTGTCAACCTATCTCTTAATGTTTTTAACACAGTAGCCGTAGATCTGAGACCTTTTGGTGCATTTCTTATAGGATTACCATCCCAGCCCAAAAAATCTAGATTTGTTAGCATACCTAACTCGGCTGGCAAAAGTTTAAGGTCATTATTGCTTAAATCTAAACGCTTTAGACTCTTCAATGTTAATAAACCGTCAGGAAGTTCAGTAAATTTGTTGTCTCCAATATCAAGAATTTCAAGATCAGGTGTTGTGTGAAGTAGAGGACCAAATGTTTCAAATAGATTAAGTGAAGTAAGAAACTCTTTAAGTTTAGGAAGTTTTATTGTTGGATGAAAAATGGTAGCATTTTGAGATTCATCCAAAGCTTTTAATCGATTTTGACGAATATCTAATCTTTTCAATGAAAGTAATTCAACCATCTGACCATCCAATCCAGTAAAAACTACTTCTAATTTATTTTCACTAATCTCAAGTTCTTCCAAATTCTTCATTCCACTTATTGCCATACCAGGTATTTCTTTTAACTTGTTCTTTGCAAGATTCAATTTTCGAAGATTCTTTAAATTTTCGATCTCCTTTGGTAGTCCAGTGATTTCATTTGATGAAATATCAAGTAATTCTAATTTAGACAGATTTCCGAAAGAAGAGTCTAAAACACCGGTTAATTTGTTTGAAGAAAGTTGCAGTTCGATGAGAGAAGATAATGTAGTCAAACAAGCAGGAAGTTCGCTAAAATGATTAACTGATAGATTAAGTGTGGTAAGGTTTTGCAATTCACCAAACTCTTTTGGAAGAGATGACAAATTATTGTTATGAAGCTAATATAAATTAAAAATTTAAGTTCTATTTATCAGATATACGTATTGTAAAACATTTTATAGAAATAATGATAGAAATAAAAAAACTTACATCAATTAAAACGAGTGCATTAAATTCTGCGATTCGTTTATCAATTACTTCGATATGATTATCTGCAGCCACCAATCTTACAAGGTCAACTGTTTCATACCACACGTCTGAACCTCCTCCGCTAAAATCAATAGTAATACTTTTCGGATCAACTTCGTACATTCTCCATACTTCTTCCGGAATTGCTTTAAGAGATCGATGTGAGATGTTTATGCGACCTATAAGAATAATAGAAATATATAATTATTTCAAATTTATGATAGGATTTTATATCTAATATTATCGTTTCTACCTGAGGATTTTGCCTGCCTAACTATTACATTTAAACTTTTGGTACCAGTTCCTTGTTCTTCTTCCTTTACGGAAGCTTTGTGGTTTGCTTTTTTTAATCTAGCTTGGGCAATTGCGTCTTTAATAGAAGATGAAGCCGTTGCTCGAATAGGTTTCGAAGTAGTTACAGATGAAGGTGATGGAGATCTTGAACGTTGTGGAGATGTATTTTTTGGTGATAAAGTATTTTGAGAGACTGATGCACCGGATCTTTTGACAGATGAAGCAGTTGCTCGAATAGGTTTCGAAGTAGTTACAGATGAAGGCGATGGAGATCTTGAACGTTGTGGAGATGTATTTTTTGGAGATAAAGTATTTTGAGAGACTGATGCACCTGATATTTTGACAGATGATGGATTTTTTGAACTACTTCGATTTGATTGTAAAGATGAAGAGATAGCGGATGAAGTAGAAGTATTTTGAGAGGTAGCAGAAGGCATTGGCCTAGCAGTTTTAGCCCCTCGAACAGGAGTCGAACCAGTCGATGTTTTGCGCATGTTTGATATGACTTCTCTTAAAAAAAAAGCTACTGTATAAAAATCAGAAATTTATGGAATTTGTTTACACATTAAAATGTAAGTTGCTACCGTTATTTAATCAATTCGACTGCCCTTAAATAAGTTTGATAGATGAACTTGATACGCATAATGATTTTTGAGTAACAAACAAACCTTTATTTAAACTCAGCTATTGTAATTTCCCTTCCGACAATATTACGAATATATGCGTATATATTTAATATTAATGAAACTAAACTCTTTTAGAAAGTAGGATGGTTAAACTTTTCGACTGCATATAATATGCTGTAATTCTGTATATTAAACATAAGTGGTGTTATTGTCATTTATATCGATTAGTTGTAATACAAAGCCAATCTTTTTATGCATAATTGGAATTGATGAACGAATAATCAAATGTGCACAATAGTGTACGTACTCGGTGTCGTGAGAATGCAAAGTATGTTTATTGTTATTATAATTACTTTGTTTTTTTATGATGTCTTAAATGCAAAGAAATGCCTGAATGAAATTTTTTCCATTTTTATGACTTGCAATTTGAATTAAAATTATGGCGCATACATCAAATGATATATATATAATGATAGTTATAAACTAAAAATTACTTTAAAAATGCATACTTTGTTTTAACGTTTATCTAGTCTGCTTTAAAATTTTGTTAAATTTTTATGTTTGAACAATGAAATATAACAGTAGAAACCGGTATTTGGCTATTGATTTTGAAATCTTTTACATTTTAACATCTCTCTTTTTTAATTACGATTTATTAGTATAATATTTATTATCAAATAAAAATACAAGAAAGCCTAAATACAATAAGATAATTTTATCTAGTTTTATAATTATAAATTTTCTATTTTACAATAAAGATTCCTAAAGTCACTTTTAGAGGAATAATAATCACTGTTCGATTTCCAGACAATCTAGTAACAACATTTTTTCAATATCATTCCAAGCATCATCAAATTGCCCTTGTTCTCTATAAATAGCACTTCGTTCACACAATGCCAAAACATTATTTGGATCTCTTTGGATAACTCGATTCAGATCAATTAAAGCTTTATCATATTTTTTATATATTCGATAAATTGAACCCCTATAACATAATCCCAACGTATATGAATTATATGAAACTTCAGATGTAATGTCAAATTTTGGTTCCAAACATATTTTTAAATCTTGATAAGCCTCGGGATACTTTCCTAAAGAAATATAAATTCCAGCTCGAGTAACGTAAAATTGACACGCATTTTTTGGTTGATCTATATTATTATTTAAATCATTTAATGCTTCTTCATGTCTACCTAGTTGTTGATAAATTTCAGCTCTATAACATAATAAACTAACATTTTGTGGAAATAATTTTAATCCTTGATTAAAATCTGATAAAGCTTCTTCATATCTACAAAGTTTTGTTAGAATCCTTCCACGATTTAAAAGAACTGCTTTGATGGCTTTTTTATCATATTCTAAATTAGATTTTGGATCTAATAATTTGTATAATCTATTCCAATTCGATAATGAATCAATATATAATGATAGTGATTCACATAAATCTGCATGTTGATGTATAACTTTAAGGTTAGTTGGTTGCAATTTTATTATGTTTTCCAAAGCTAATCTAGCTTCTTGTTTATGCCCTAGTTCTTCATAAGCTGATACACGGAGTTGATGTATTTGTGATATTATTGCAAGATCTTGTGTAAATTCTAATGCTTTATCCAAATCTGATAATGCCTTTTTAAATTCACCTAATTTAAACAAAGTTTCACCTCGATCAAAACAAATATATTTCTCATTTTGTGGTTTCATTTCCAATGCTTTGTTGAAATCCGCAATTGCCTCGGAATATTTCTTCATTACTAATAAAGCTTTACCTCGATACCTATATCCGGATGGGTGTTCTTCAATCTTTAATGATTCATCCAGATCTTCGCATGCATTTAGATGAAATTTTGATAAAAAATTAATTTTTCCACGATTTCGTAAAAGTTTTGGATTTTGTGGGTCCAATTGTAATGCTTCATCTATATCATAGCGTGCATTAAATAATAATTCTTGAACTCTATAAACTTTAGAACGACTCAATAAGGCAAATACGTATTTTGGACAAAGTTTCAAGACATGATTGAAATCAGCTAACGCATTGTTATATTGATGTAGTAAACGATACACATTCCCTCGAACAGATAATAATTTTATATCATTTGGATTGGACTGTAGTTCTGACATTAAACTTTTTAATGCATCTTCATATCTATAGTAAAATAAATATTATGTATGAGATTCGTTGACATGTACTAAAGAAACTACGAGGCTTGCCTTTTTAAATGAATAAGAATCTGGATCCGCGTATATTCTGCATCTTTATCTTTAGGATTAATGTATAATATAAAATCTATATCTGACAACGCGTCATCGAATCTTTTCATAGCTTTATACACTTTAAGCCTAATAAAATATCCTTTTGTTTTCATTGGTTTTTGTTTTATTGCCATGTTTAAATCTTGTAATGCTTTTCCATATTCACTTTTGTTGAAATTGGCGCTTCCACGTTCACATCTTATAGAATAACTTTCCGGATATTTCTTTAGTAATTCTGACCAATATTCTACTGCTTCTTGATATTTCTTTTCTTTCGTTACTTTGACGGCTTTTTGAAATGATGGATGAAAATGTTTCGGTATTTTTGGTGATTTTATTGAGAAACCAAATACCAATCCGATAGATTTTGTTTGAAGATGAGATTTATTGTTATCTATTGTTTCCGTGGTTTCTTGTAAATGATTTATTTGTTCATTAACTGTTTGTGAATTCGTAAGTAAAGATACATCTTTACAAATCTGTTTGTAAAAAAAAGTATAAATATATATATCTGATATATACCGAAATAATCAATGAATTGTACAATGTATATACGTACGAACCTTGTTTGTCAGCAATGAATCACTCTTATATTTGTTTCTACTAAAATTTAACATCTTATTTTTTGCTTTTCAATTCATGAGAAAACTTTTGCTGGAAAGGAGATTTATACATGATAAAAAAACTTTTTTGATATTATTCTTTTTATATGATAATGATAAAAGCCAAATATGAAAATATCGGTATGCAGATTTATATTATATACATGCAGGGAAATATTATCCATAAATGTTGCACGAGAAAGATTGGTATATACTATATGTACGTGCTACATGCAAGAACCTTAAAATTTGTTACAATTTCTATTATATATAACACGCGTATCTTCGTGTCTTCCTTGTTCCTTGAATGATTGGTTAATGCATATAAAAAACTAACTTTGTTAATTCATCATATACGTATTATGGGTTCTTTTAATTGTTAGTGAATCCAAACCGAAATTGACAATCAATTTCCTTAACACTGAACTTTAATCTCAAACATTAAAAGAGCGATTACGTACATATGCGTGCAAATCATCTATCTAGACTTCTCAAATAAAAAAATTCACAAATAATGATTTAAATTTCTTTGAAAGTTTAAACCGTAGGCTTACTATTATTTATTCTATTATTCTTAAAAATAATTGATGTGGAAGTACTTATTCTGAGATTTCTTTACGATACCAACATTCAAATTGATGAGAATGACGCATTAATTGACTTCGGAATATCGATTTTTAATTCAAAGTGTTCGTTTAGAAAATATTAATATCTTTGATATTTTTAATAGCCTTTCCCAAATTTATACCAGAATGATCTACTGTTAAAGTAGACTAGTTATAAAATTTTTTGTTACCAATAAAGATGTTAAAAGATTCGATAAATAGATAAAGCGGTTTATTTGTACCATAAAATGACTGGAAAACAATTTTCCGATTATTATGAGGCTATTGGTATTTATATATGCATTTTACTATTTTGATGTTATCACGATTATTAATAATTATTAATACAGCGTTTTCGTTTATATTTTAGGTGCCGCACAAAAAAAAAGAAACTGCAGCCGCCCATTAGGTGAAAATTGTTCCCAGTTAATTTTACTATAGAATGGGCCTATTGTCATTTATTGTAACTGAAAATTAAAAAATTTTATTCCGACTAAAATTGATGTACATTTGTTGAAAATATTAAATTAGAAAAATAATTGTTGAAAAATAAAAGACTTGTTAATGCCACCCCTTACATAATCTAACCCTAATTAATAATTAGGGTCTGAAAGGTCGGAGATTAAAAATATTTTATATAAAGGGGGTGGCATTAGCAAAAGTAGGGGTTGCATTAACAAATCTCAAAATAAAATATCAAAAATAAAAATACCAAAAATAATTATCAAAACAATATTTGTTAGAGAAGAGATTATCGAGAAAATAAATGTTGAAAAAATGATTGGAATTATTTTTAAATAAAAATTGGTTTTATAAATGTGTTAAAAGTTCAATTTGGTTCTACTCAACTTATAAGTCAAGAGTTTATAAAAAGTTGGTTTCAAGTTTAGCTAATATATATTATATAATGCAATCTTATTGTATATTTTATGTACTTGCATATTTTTATTGTATTTCTTGTATGTCTAGAACCGGAGTCACATGATTTCAACACATAAGTTATATCTTTTAAAATTGTTTATACAGTCAACCCTCCATAAATGCACTCGTCGGAGGAAAAGTGCACATATAAAGGTGTGCATTTATGGAGAATCCAATTATGATGAGTATTCTAACTGCAATAAATTATTGAGGAATATAAATTTTGGTCAAACAACGTGCACTTAGGGATGTAAAATTGTGTAAATGTGCACTCACTTATGAAGGGTTGATTGTAATTAATGAACATATATATATTTAAAAAAAAAACCTCTTTGTAAATTGATACTATAGAATTAGTACTTTAATATTACAAAGAGATTTTTTATTTAAATATACCAATTCCAAATTTATTTGCTATTAAATTTGACATTAATGTCGTGCTTGAAGTTGTAACTTCAAGTGCCTGAAGTTAAAACTGCCTAAAATTACTAACGCGTGCAAGGAGATCTAATTTTAATTTTAGTTAGTATGCCTAAATTGGTAACCTTAAGCGGATGTCAGCTTCAAGCACGACATTAATACCAAAATTGACCACTATATTTAATGTATAATATAATCCATATAGAATAAATAAAAGCAGAACCGCTAAAGGGAAAAAACAAAAATAAAAAATATTTTAATGTTAATAATAAACTTAAAAGAAGTTAAGCAAAAGATTAAAAATTAAGTTTAAAAAAGATTTAATCTAATCTAAATAAGATTTTTATTACAAATAACTGGTGGTAATAAGATAAGCAAGAGTGTAGTTTTAGAGTAAGGCAGAGGTCAGATATAAAGATTCAAATTTAAGTTTTTTGACTATTTTTGATATATTAGTAGTACCAATTTTGATAAGATTAAAAAAACTTATTTGAATACTGTTTCTAATGGGATTTAAAAATAAACACTAATTTTTTATATACTTTTAAAGACCTTTTTTTAGAACTTTATCAAGAATGGTATGTAAATTTTTTATATATATATCAAAAATAATACTAATTACCCATCAAGGATTATAAATAAAAATTAAAAATATTACCAACTATTAGTATAAAATCAGCAGTTCAATATTGAGCTGATAGGTTGTAATTTTAAGAAAATTTGGTATATATTAGTCAATATTAACTACTACTAGTTAATATATACCAAATTTTCTTAAAATTGCAACCTATCAGCCCAATATTGAACTGCTGATTTTATACTAACAGTTAATGATATTTTTAATTTCAACCTATTAATAATATTTTTGCATTCTTGTTAGTTAATAAATCTTAACAAAAAACATATATAAAAACAACAGAATATAAATTAAACTCTTATAATAACAATCTGTGCTAATAAAAAAATAATATTTTTTGTATCTCCAAGATAATTTATAGACTAATTGGTAAAGACTAATTTTATGTTCAACCAAAGTTTCAGCTTGGATTGCAAATACCAATCAGATGTTCTTTCATTAAAGTTTTAGATTGTTCATGTGGTTTTCTAAGTGATACAAGTTTTTAATGCATTTATATTCTTGAAAGTGCTCGATAATCTGACTTTAGAAGATATATTAATACCTAAGTGTTTGGCAATTTGTTTCGAATTGATAGGCCTAAAGTTTTTTCAATAATTTATCAAAGATGTCATATTTTTGTATTAAACCAGAGATATATATTGTTATGTTCGGAAATCTGTGACTCGGTTGCTCCACAATCCAAATTCTCGTGTAATGTATGATAGGTACCTTTTCGAAAGAGGGTGTTAGATTTGGCTGGTGGGTGATTAAGGCTTTCGGTTACTTTGGGTCAACGAAGACAAGTAGTGTAAGTCACGTGAACAAGAACTCGAACGAACAACGAATTTTATGGATTTTACAAGGTTTATACTGGGTAGTGTAATTATTATCGATATAATGTATTGGAACTTGTTATTTAATAAAGCAACCGAAGCATATCACTCCTAAGGGCCATTTCGGCCTTTATTTATAATACTAAATTCGTCGCTCACAAATGCGACTTTACACTTATTATCTATTAAAACCAATTAAAGCTATTTACAAGTATTTATTTAATATCTTTAACATTGTTTAATTCTTTTTATTTCCCCTTTGGATCCGAAATACCATAAATGTAACTTATTGCACATTGCATTTCGTGCATTTTTCACGTGATCGGTTACAATATTCCGGTTTCACAATATGTACGTATTGTACATATTAACGTTAAATATTTCCATTAAATTATATATATCAATCTAAATCTATTATACCGAAGTTTCAATTGTGTATGTGAATATGGCTGATTAGGCTGAACTAGAAAATTAATTAAGATCTCCGAAAACATGAAGATTATACGATATTCAGTCCAGGTATTACCCGATCGGACCCTTATGTCGGACCGAAAAATTAATTGCAATTAATTTTTGTCGTATGTCATTCAGTTAAAATTATTATGAAATTAATTGAAACACGATTTCCTTTCACTATACTGCGTAGAGATTTGTCCGGTGTAACCCGATTTTTTAAACAGTGAAATATGTGGGAGCTTTTCAATAGAAAGGAAAGTCTCCGGACGTTTACCATTCACACTTACCAAATATAAAACAACCAATCAAAGCTAATCTAACCCTAATAGTAAGTGCAAAATCACGTGAACTATTAAATGTTAAGACTTTCCCCAATAGAAAAGGATCGATTAAAATATCTAATAACTAAATAAAAAAAAATTTATTTTAATTTTATAACTATATAGAATTAAATAAAAAATCATTAAATTTAGTTTAATAGTTGTTGAGATATTTTAATTTAAAATTTAAAAAATTTTTACTTAAAAAAATCTCTTCCTTTTCTATTGACGAGCCTCCATGTATTTACTGTAATTAATAATTTTAACGGCGAATGTATGATATGTAATCTAATTATGAATTACGTAAAATTGCAATTAATTGACTAATTGTGGCTGCGCCGCCAATTAATTAATTGAGTTCGAACATTGCCCCTACAATCAATTATTGCGAAACACTAACTCATATGCTGAATAAAATTTTTTATGAAATGCTAAGATTAATGCATGTTCTTTATGCTTCGTATAAATTTATTGCGAATAAAATGAAATTAAAATAGTAATATTTATAGTAGCGATCTATCAAAAAAAAAAAAAAATTGAAAATCCGGATATTCATTCTGTTTGATTTTTTTAATATCCAGATATTGGTCAAGTTCAAATATCATGCATTATATGCAGTGTTTGCCAATGACCTAAGCCATAAATTTTTTTCCTATATGATCTGGCCATATAATCATATAACCTTTGACCATAGTCATATCGGCCATATTAAATGCTAATGAAAAAAAGGTTACTATGATTCTTACAATATTAAAATAGGTATCACTCTTCGTTATGACTAAATTACCTATGACAGGTCATTTAAGGTCATAGGCTGACATTTCTGTCTAATTTGCTGATGTATTTCATCAATGCTAATAAATATCAATTCCGCTCATCACTAGACCTATTTTTCACAATTTCTCTAAAGTATTTTTTTTACATAAATGAAAATAAAAAAAAATTTGGAAGGATTCTTTATATAATAGAATGTAGGCTTGGAATAATCAGTCGTTTCATGTTTTATTACCATTTAAAGCCCATACCCCATTGTCCAAAGAATGTAATTTTTAGATCTAAAATTCCAAATTTTACGGATTACCGGTATTATTATTTAGGAATTGGAATGAAATACGTAGATGATATGCATAAAACATTTGTACATTATCTAAATCAGCTAAGATAAACAACTCTGCAGGAATTTTTAAAACTGCCGTTTATCACTATATTTTCGGAATTAGTGGGTTATTTCGAAATAAGGGGCGAACCTGTGACGATTATACTCGTATAAAATAACATGTTATTAAATATTTAGATTGATAAATGTCATAATACCAATAAATAGTAAGCTTGAATAAATATTCAGATTAATGAACACAAAGGCCCTTGATACATCCACCCGTATAATCACTGATTGTCATTATATCAGGATGCGGACTCCCATGGACGGCCATGTATACTATTTTTGAAGAAAATGGGTTTTAAAATAATACCCACTAGCATTATTTCACGTTTGTACGGTAAAAGCAAATTTTATTATTTGTTTAAGTTATTAAAGTTATTAGTTTTTTATTAGTATATTTGAATTTCACACTTTAAATTTAAAGCTATTTAATTCTTTATGAGTAAGTATAAGAGTTAATTATATTAAACATACTGTTTTTTTTATGACTACTTCTATTTAAACTAGCTAAAAACCCGTGCTTTGCACAGGTGCACATATCGTCTTTCCCTCTATAATCACAACCTTAATTTAATGCTTATACTGTTATTAGTTTTACAAAAAATATTATAATGTATATAAATAAATTACATGGGTCTAATTATAAAGGTAGCCAATCAGATCACAGTTTTATCTCATATTGTTTATCTCATAATGTTTATCTACCTGTCGCAAATTATAAATTATATATGTATATTAAGTCTCAAGTGTAAAGTTCATGAATATAAATAGTCAAATTTAACTGTTTAAATTCACGAATATTTAATCTTGAATAGTATATATTAATTTAGTATGTGTTAATATGGGATGTAAAATTAGCGCTAGCCATTAAACTTAATGAAGATATACTATTTATAATTTCATTTTTTATTCGCGTTAATTTAGTTCGTGTGCATAAGGAAAATCCATTAATCCAAGTATTTCAAAAAAGTTAATCAGGTTCGTGAATATTACGATCGATTTGGTACGTGAGTGTGAAGAAATTTATTAATCTAAGTATTAAAATAAGCTGTTAAACTTCATGAACATCTATTTAATTTCAATTTATTCTAATCTAGTGATGGTCTATCAAAATAATTTACTAATTTTCACCACCACTTCTGATTGGTTCTACTAATTATTCACATATGTGTTATTATAGTTCTCCGATAGTGAAGTGGTGGGGAAATTAGGGCATCCCTATAAAAATAGCGTTCGACATTTTTATTGATTATCAAAATGGTTAATTTTTTTTTAGTAGTTTCCAATTGATTAGTTGCCAACTATAGTTGCAACTAGTGATACAATCGAAAATCGAAAATCGAAAAATCGATTAGTTGTCAACTAATCGACTAATCGATTGAAAAATTTTGAAAAAAATACAATTTATCGATTAAAAAATTTTGTCAACTTATAATAAAATAATCAATCAAAATCGATAAATCGTTTAGTTGACAACTAATCGAATGAATTTGTTAACTAATCGATTGAAATTTTTTGGCAATTTGTATCACTAGTTGCAATTATACATGTCGTAGAAACTATTTCGGCATTAAATTTTAATATGAACTTCTGAGTTATTTCTGAAATAGCTCAGACATTTCATATCAAAATCAATGCCGAAATAGTTTTTACGACATGTATAGTTGCAACCAATCGATTTTTCCTATCATGTGACTAAATTTGTTGATTGGCCAATCAACTAAAGAAATCAACACCAGCCCGAATAAATCCGTATGATTGTATGAGTGAAAACCCCATAACTAATCATAATAAATCATTTCACTCTTTATTCAAATATCCATTTACTATTGATATCCGGATGGTTTTTCAACTGACAATCAACGATCAATAACTTAACATTAATAATGTAATATATTGATAGGTTCAGAATGATCGCAAATTTTTTCTGCCACACTATCAGAAGTGAACTCAACCCAAAGTGAAATGGAGTGGGTTAAAGGTATGTTGGGGTGAAATTGGAGTAAACTGGAGCAACTTTAAGCAAATCTGAGTGAGCTCAACCCAAGTTGGAGTGGGTTGAAGAATATCTCAACCCAAACCACTCCAACCAGCCCATTAACAAACCTACCCATATGAAGTTTAGTTCTAATTTCGTACAGTATGCATAGTAATTCTATTATATTTTTAATATTATGATTGGTAATCACTGGTGATCGCCAATTCCTGTGCCATGATTATCGTTACGTAATTCATCTAGCGCTAGTAATAACAAGAAAATTTACCTACGAGTATAAGACTATCTGAGAATAAATCTATATCTTCTAAATCGTGATCTTCCTAGATGCGACTCGACGTGAAACAGAAAAAATGCATTTAAAGAGATCAAACATAGGTGACTGCATTTAGGAGGTCTCATTGGAAGAAATTAAAAAGTAATAAACCGGGATGTTCGGGTAATATGAATCCTCGGAACCAACTTCTATTAATTAGTGCTTCGACTTATAATTTGTAAATGACTGAATATCGATCTAACTTGAATTTTTAATGATATCCAAAAATGTGACTTTCCAACGAATAATTGAAAATTCAATATCGAATAATTGAAATTCAACGGTTTAATTGTTATAGCCTTGACTACTTTTATAAGGTTTTCTATTTTTTTTTATTTTGCGAATCCTGACTGAATACAAGTACAATTTTTTTTTAAAAAAACTTTCACATACTCATGTCAGCAAAACTCATGAGAAAAGGGTGGTAAGAATTTGTTGGCCCCTGTTCATGACTTTGGGGGATTTGCATTTTTGTACGTAGTCTCCTTAAATTACTTAAAATGGTATTTTATACGATTAACACTTTATCGTTTATAGAATATTTATTAAATTGCTTTATGATCTTATTGTTATGGATTTATGGATCGGACCAAAGATCGTCTAGTGGACAATAATAATTGGATTGCATAAGAATGAAACGTTGCTATTTTAGTGTTCATTTCGTGTAAATTAACGTTAGTGCAAATCGGACTTCGTTACCTAATCTGGCTTTTAGAAGTCATCATTAGCGTTTAAAACATGTACATAAATTAGTTTCTTTACTAAAGATTTGATCATGAATATTTTTCTTCCTTTCTCTCTTTATTAATATTCATCTTTGCTACTTAACCCTATTTACGCCCTCAAAATCAAGAACTATAATTTGATCTTGTGATTTCTCTACATAAGAACGTTTAGGGCTTTTTATAACTTTTTCAATCTATTCAGTTTATTTAACTTGTGCTATAAAATAATCCAATAAAATGTTTATTTTCTGGCGGTTTTCGTTAACATTTTTATCCTTAATTGCTGCATTGACACTTTTTGCCGTGCTTATAAACTCGAGTTTACTCAACGTCCAATTCTCGGCCGACCTGCCAACCGTTGATCTATCAAACGTTAAAATTGATACTATTATACCAAGTCTGTTAGCACAAGACTCTTTTTCACCAATATCAACATCACCAACTACAACATCACCAACTACATCAACTTTATCACCTACATCATCAACTTTATCACCTACATCAACACGTACTATCAAAAAACCAAAAGCTGGTTTGAATGTGATTCTTGATGAAAATCAATTATTTGTAAATTGTTCAATCAATGGCAAGCATTGTAGAGATACCCAATGTGCTTTTAAGGATTTTACTGCGAATTGTAGTGCAACAGGCTTCGAATGTAAATATCATTTCAATTAAGCCCATTGATGAATACTAACTTCAATTCAATAGGTTTATTAATAACACGATTTATTATGTATTTATCATAGGTACATGTTTCACAAGCTTTGCATCATCAATTGCTAAAATAGACATGCAAAATATTCTCATAATTGCATTAATATCACTGTACTTTTTGGTCACAAACATACAAAAGTAAATATTGGTACAAAGCAAGAAAAATTTATATACAGGTTTAATTAACTCTTTAAATAAACACTTTAGATAGTCATCTACTTACAAAGGCTAAAGATCCGGAATCTTTAGTTAATATTTGACTGAATATTTAATTAATCTTTGTTTTAAAATGTTTTAATTATTTTGGATAGATTAGTGGAGCAACAAAAATTCAGTCGATCTAGGGTCAGAATAGGCCGGCATTAAGCAATAATACTAGCTAACTATACTATGGCAAAATTATCATCTGGGCAGCTTTACTTAGTACGCGGGTCTCCATTTTATTTGGGTAGTTTTGGGAAAAATTTATAAATTCTGGGCCTATTCCGACCCCGGATTTTGGTTGAGCTGAATTTTTGTTGTTCCATTAATCTATCCGCATCAAAAGCTAGAGGCTAACTTTCTCGTGGTTGGTAAATCACATGAAATTAGCAAAAAAAATCAAATATATTTCTTTAAACATATATGTTTTCCTAAAGGACTATTTCATTTATTATACCGAAGTAATCTGAAATCTAAAATCTATAGTTTATTGTATTATAATTAACACTTATTGTGAAAAAATTCATTAAACCATATAATGTTTGTTGTAATCTCTAAAATTTTTAAATGTTTATATTTCTTACAACTACATTTTTACACATTAAAAGTTCTTTACACTATGTTCTAAAACATTATTACGTAACTCAACAAAGTGTTTTATCTATTCTTAAAAAAGATGTTTGCTTTGTTAAACCATTTAGTAATTATATATAGTTCTATATATAGTTATAATATACGTAGAAATTTTACCTTTTAAGCAAAATTCCTCTAGGTTATGAATCTTTTTGGATTCTTTCGCGTAGTAACTGTTGGGGCTTTTACTGGATATAGAACGGTCTTATGAAATGTTACATTCTTAAAAAGTACTCTAAACTGTATAAATACAATTATAAGTGATTGACCAATTAGAAGAAAGTTAGCCTATACGTAGTCTCAAAAGTGTGTGGTTTCGCACGGATCAGTCTGGGCGGGTATTTTTAAATTCCGGAATCTTAGATTACAGGAGAGACTCCAAGTATGGAAATGATTCTGGAATGACTCCACGTGATTTTGACCAATCATTTCATAAGTCATCTGTAAATTGGCCAATCAGATTACAAAAAAAATTGTAAATGATATATTATAGGACAGTAATATTTGTTAAACTACCCGAGTTTGCTAAAAAAAAAAAAATATTGTAACCCGAAAAAAAAATTATCCATATCGGAGCCATTGCCATATTTAGGGAATCCTTAAAGCAGGTTAAGGTTAGGTTACTTTTTTGATGTGGTTAGTGCTATTGTCCAAAGAACAATTTATATTAGGGTTCTGCAAATGCCCATGCCGGGCATTAGTGCCAGTGGCACATCAAATACTGGTACCTCAAAACGTGCCTAGCATTTTTATGCCAGGCACAAGTGCCTTGATGTCCATGCCAAATTAGTGCCTATGCCCAAAAAGTACTACAAAAAAAAAAAAAGTATCACTATCGCTTTTGAAATGAATTATTTTTTCAAATTAAATTTATATGAAATATATTTTGATGTACAGAAATCTCAAAAATGTAAGAATTTAGTATTATTACAATAAGTCGCTAATAAGATAATTCATATTGTTTCTGACCCGTAAGATATGACAATAATACACAAAATTGGCGTTATTTAGATATAATGAAAAAATGTGGCTAGAGACTTGTACGTGGCCCTTGAGGACTAAATAGGTTTTATTATATAGTCATTAGTAACAAGGTAATTAGAATTAGTTGTGTCAATGTATTTGATTTTAAGAGATTTAATAGTTCATATCAATTCATATTGGGTATCATAGCATCTGTTGATTTAGTATTCAGTTAATATTATAGTTAATCTATTCATATAAAGTTAATAAATTCATTATTCGCATATAACTAGGAAACGGGAACTGTTGAAGTTCGGAGTTTAGATTTTTAACACATTTTTGAATTTTAAAATACTCTTTTATGAGTTACAGTACTTATCTTTATCATTCAATTTATGTACATTTTCTTCTAGATTAATAGCTCAAAATGTCACAATTATGTAATATAATAAAATCGTAATCCCAGATTATAGCTTATGAGACTAACACAGTCAATTCACATCAAAATTACTGGAGCTTTCTGAAAATGCATCTGAAATGCTGTTACTGCAATGTTTAAGAAAGAGAGGTACTAAGTCAGTATACATAACAACAAATAGAAATAATAATCAAAGAAGATCTTCAATAATTATTTTTGTATCAGAGAAGAAGATGAAGACAGCACAAACTAAACTAATAAGGTTTAACAACTACTTGTTATTTTGGCAAGATAAAACAAAAAAGAGAAAGCAGTATAAAAAGAAAGTTTATTATAAGAAGTACATAACTACACTTGACATAGACATTGACTTAAATGCAAAAGTGTATAAAAACAAGAAAAATAAGAAAAAAGAAGACACAGAAGAGTTTAATGAAAATAAAAAAAAGCATAACATATATTTAACAAAGAAAAAAGATTTACAAACATGAAACCAAGACCTTTTGGAAAAAATCTTTGAGAAATCAAAGAGATCAGAAGTACAACAAAACAAGACAAAATGGAGAACAAAAGAAAACTTTGATAACTGATTCTAACAACACTATAGTTGAATTAATAAACATAGACCAGAAGATTAGAAAGTTCTTGCATAGTAAAAGAAGAATTTTCAAAAAAAGAAATATAGATGTATTTATTGACTATAATGAAAAAACAAAGAAAAAAGAAAATGAGAAGATGAAAAACATAGAAATAAAGCATAAATGTCTGGAAAAAAATAGAAACAAGGAAAGAAGAAAATAAAAATTGCATGTTACAGTATCAATGAACTTAAAACAAAAAGATGAAAAGTGGAAAACCTTCTAGAATAGGCAGAAAAAGAAAAACTTACAATAATAGGAATAATGAAAATGAACATTACAAAAAAAAAGAAAAAATTTTTATTATATAATTATAATATATAGTATAAGAAATATTGGACTAGTGTAATAATAAACAAGAAAAAAGGTTTAGACATAAGAATACTAATAAATAAAAACTAAAAAAAGTATATAGGAGTAGTTAAAAGAGTTAGTAAATACATACTAAAGGTGAAATTATATTTTAAACAATTAGAATTAGTAGTATTAGGAGTATATATTCTATCAAATAACAAATCAATCAGTAAGAAAATCTAGCAAAAAATTGTAGAAGTAGTAACAAATAGGAAAAGATATACAAAAGTAATTATACTTGGTGATTTTAATCATACAGTAGATAATGTACTACAAAAAACTACTAATATTTAGCTAGCTTAGAAGACAAAACTTCATAGATTTATACAGAAACTTGTACTTGACAAAAAAAATATATATATAATCAAGTCAGAAGATTGCAACAAGAATAGATTATATTTGGTTGTCAGAAACACTTGCATCAGATTTACAAAAAGCTAATATCAAAAAAGCAAAAGATTTAACAGACAGTGATCATAAGATAATAACAACAGAAATATGAGTAAAACATATAATTGCAAACAGCAGTAGGGCAGAAATTAAATAAAAAGACTAAACAAGAACAATATACTTATATAAAGAAGCAAAACAAGAAGACTAGAAAGATTATGCAAGAGAGCTACAAAATCAGCTATAATAAAAAAGAGTATTAAAACAACTAGAAGATAATAATATAATAACAGAATATAGTACAGAGATACTGAATCAAATGTGAGATACAATAGAAGAAGTTATAATTGAAGCAGCAAACAAACAAATTTCAAAGAAGAAGATATTCAACACTAAGTTAAATAGAAGACAAAACTAGAAAAAAACAAAGAAATACAAACACATTACTGAACTTCAACAAATAATCAAGAAAGCAAGAAATAAAAAGAATTAAAAAGTGAAAAAGAATAAAGGAGTTGAAATAAATAACAAACTCCAAATTATAAAAAAAAAGCTAGAAGCAATATTGCCAAAACTATACAGACAGTGGTCAAAAGTCTGTTAGATAATATAAAAGGTTAACAAAGTATAATTAAAGAGAAAAGAAATGAGAAATGAAAATAAGTACAAAGAAAACAGATAGAAAAAAATATAAACAGAAGATATAAAATAATTAAAATAGATCAAGATCGAATAATTGTTAGCTTACTAAATAAACTATACAAAAAGATTGTTCTAGACATATTTATAATACAAGACAAAAAAAAAGTTGATCTAATATCAAAACCAAACACAGTATTAAATAGTTTGGCAACTCATTTTAAAAACCAATTTAGAAAATAATAAACCAAACTTAAAGAAATAACAAAAGAATGGAAAAAAGTATATAATCCAAAAGATTAGATCAATAAGATCTAATATAAGAAATTAGAAAAAAGAATAAAAAAAAAAGAATAAAAAAAAAAGAATAAGAAAAAATACTTAGAGAGCTTAAAGCAAATACAGTCCTAAAAATATCAGGCATAAGCTATACATTAATAAAACATGCAGAGAAGAGATCACAAAAGATTTTTAGAGCCTTTGAAATCTGATTTTGGAAAAAGAAAACATACCAAAGAAGTAAAAAATTGCACAAATACATTCAATCTAAAAAACATAGACTGAAGTTATTGCTTAAACAATATTAGGCCAATAGCATTGATCAGAATTTTTAGAAAAATCATTATAAAAGTAGTAACAAAAAGATTAGCTAGAGTGTTTACAAAAAGAAATACATATATTAAACATGATAATGAAGAAGGCACAAGAAAAAAATAGATACTGTTACAAGA